ACACGTCTTTCCGCTGGAATCTTCAACAGGTCGCCCCGAAATACTTTCACATAGTCGCAAAGATCCCAGGGCTTGGAGGAACCTTTTTTTGACTGGAGGCTGAGAACAAGACGCCCCCTGATGAGGCTGTGAGGGGGCGAATTTCGAGGTGGGGTCCGCTCGGGGGCAACTACGACGAAAACACTCGTAGGCCGTGTTTGCCTCGGTTAGTGACTTGGACAAGTCCTTATAGAGACATTGTTGGTACAGATTCCTGAGTATCGATGGTCTCGCAGACACAGACGGAGGTCCAGGGCCTTCTCCTCTGGCCTTGACCGTTCACTGCAATGAATCATTACAGGGAAAAATTTAGTTCTTCACAATGAATGGGTGTATTAGGGATGGCTTGAAGCACCAAAATACGAAACCAAGGGTCATTAACAGCCAAAGATGCCCAAGCTACATGCACCATCCCGACCTTTGGCTCATAGTAACTTTACTTGTGAACTATATAACACCACGATATAGGTATGGTGTCATTTCTCTTTGTGCTCTTTGCTGTTTAATGAACCCCATTTTTTCTTCCTTTCTTTTCTTTCTTCCAAAATGTGTATACTTACTTACAGAAGTCACTGCTGATACGAGTTCCTCTCATTCATTCCTGGCTTCGTCTCGTAGACCTTGTTCACGCACGCACGAGACTAATGCGCGCTCACCGCGCGCATTGGGGCAACGCCCTCCTCGCGCGCATGCGGCTCACTGATGCTGAGTTAGCAGCACATGCGTTGTCCAGTGACTACTGTGGAGTAGCCTCAATCGATCTAGCCGTAGTGACGTTGCGGCAGAAACAAGCGATCGCTTATGTTGCGTGTGACACCTCCAGCAAATTTGTGAGACGTTCTGTGAACAAAGCACGCTTCAACTGCTATCCGTAAGAGTCTAGTCGGTCTGAAGAAGATACGAAGAAGAAGAACAATAGATGAGTATGATGACACGAAAATCGCGAAATCGCGTAAGAGCGAATTCTCTCGTGGGGAACTGAGGCACGTAGGAAGTCTTGGGGCATATGTATAGCTAGGTATTGGCCTCTAGACTATTGCTAGTGATTTTGAAGCCATGGTGAGTCATTGTCGCTGAGTTTTGAGGCGTTTTGTACGTGGATCACATGAGATTTCACTCGTGTCATCCCTATATAGAGCGTCTACCGACGCTCTGATAAAGTGGAACCTCTCTCTGAGGACACTCCTGAAATGAAGACACCTCTCTAATGAGTGAGATTTTCATTTGTCTAGTATTCATCACTGTACCTGGACGCACCAACCTTTGTGGGGTAATAAAATTGTTCTAAAAGTTCTTACATGAGAACTAAGTTTTTGCCCCTAAGAATAGCAAACAACTATATAGTAGGAACACGTAGAGATACACTGTCAGAATGTGTTGGTACAAATGGAAGTGTAGTATTGAAGCAGCTTACAGGCTTGACTCCAGTCTGAGTGAAGGAAATGGTGAAGATTTGAGAAGAGGGAGAGGCCGTGGTTGGAGAGAAAGCCAGGTCCACTCTGCAGCTACTGTATCCATCCAGATACCCTGCTTGGTTCTGGAGAGAGATATTGTAGGAACAGGGAAAACACGGTGTAAGATGCGAGAAAGGAAAAGTCCAGACCTTCTCTATCACTATTGCAGGTGAAATGTTCTCCTCCTTAGTAGAAGATTCAGCTGGTGTTTCCTTTTCTTTCTCTTCGGCTGATATTTCTCCCTCCCTGCTCTCAGCGTGTCAGTGTGTGTAGTTCTCCTGCGATGAGCCCATCTGGTCTTCTGTGGCTGCCTGTTTGACTGGTATGATTGGTTTTTGGTCTTGCGAGGTGGACTTGTGGCCCTGTTCAACCGGTTTTTGGTTTGGTTTGGTGAGTTTTTGGTCCAGCTTGACTGGTGCGGCTGGCTTGCTAGGTCCGCCAGACCTTTTGCCAGGCCTTGACTTGTCGGTGTTGGAAGATTCAGTTTCAGTAGTAGCAGAGTGATCAGCTTGCTGTTGGCCAAACACTAACTGAGGTAGTTCACCGGTAGACTGACTGGCAGGCTGTGGAAGACATAGGACATACTGAACCTAAAGAATCTTAAAGGGAAATAGAATGGCAACCACTGATTGTGCTTTATGCGCATAGATCATGGCATTCTACAGCAGGGCAGATGTTGCTACATTAGTTATTACCCTCGGCGTGCATGCGCAGCGAGGGTACTGTCTGTCTGTCTGTCTGTCTATCTGTGTGTCCGTTACTCTCAATCTCACTTCTCGGGTGTCTGTTCGTCCCAGAAACGATACCATCTACCCAACGGGCGACGAGGGTCAGAAACTATGTGGGGTTTTCTCTGAAAATGATCCGTTGCAGAGCTAGAGCGCTTCCAGGCCGGTAGTCGCCATTTTATCGCTGGCGGATAATGCGCATGCGCTTATATTTAGCTCGACCGGGTCCGCTTGCTCTGTCTATCTTGAAGGCACAAGAAGTCACAACGAATGGCGTGTATCGCTCTCGCGTGCTATCTACTACTGTCTGGAGAGATGAAGGGCTGGGCGTTTTTAAAATTTTTTTTTCAACTTCGGTTTTTAACAAATTTTTATGCACTAACAATCCACGGGTAATATGAAAATTAATAGAGAGATGAAAGGTTGGCAATTTTTCAACCTTATATATTTTTTGGGCCTCAAACAGAAATGGGGCTGGGCATTTTTTCAACCATGAAAATAGTGCATAACATGCTGTTTTTTTGATGCATGGTCAAGACCATCAATTGTGGTGGTGCCACACTTGTGTATGGGTTCCACATTTCTGTGCCGAGGGTTTGCACTTTAGTGCTTTTCATTGACACCATAAGTGATTCGAATTGTATGCTAGAGTTCTGTCTTCTGAGCCATTGGAACAGCTCTGTTTCCATGCAGAGAATCAAAGATAAAACTACCCCATCTATCACTGATGGTGTATGGGTGAGATTTTATAGTACCCTGTGACTGGATTTGAGTCTGGCTACCGCTCCCCAGTCTCCCCTGACTTCACTCATGACACTGGGCAGACTGGAATGGCTCGATGATGCTCCACTCACAGACTCTCCCACCGACTCACTTCTCTCTGGACTCAGTAGCTGTATGTATTACACACGGAAGAGAGTTGTATTATGAAAGGTATAGGGAAGTAAAGTGGTTTCTCAAAAAGTGCTTTTAACCCTTTAAACTACTGTAATAGTATACCCTACCTAAATTTCTCTTTCGAAATTTGCCATAATATGTATATACAATGTCGGGATTTTGTGCAGATCATAAGTTGGTGGGTTTAGCTCAGGGTAGGGTTAGCACTACGTCAGAACTGCTTAGAGGCCGTCGTGGAAACTACTTAGCTTACTAAAATACCTTTGGTTTGCTGTGTGTACTGGAAGTGATGGAGAACTCAGTTGGTAGAGCTCCATCATTGCGGAGGAGAATGGACCCCCGGACTGTCTCACCGACACACACCCTCCCAAAATCCACCTCTACACAATCTCCTCCTCCTCTTCCATCTCCCTCACTGCTCTCCTCCTGTGGCTCCGACGGTGACACTTGCGAGTGGTGCAGCGAACGGGGATGGAGAATGGACCAGTCTGTGTGAGCATCTCTATCTCCCCAGTCAGATCCTTGTTTAGCTGCAGGGAGGGGGTGGACATTTCTAGCACTGCAACGTGACAAGGAAATGATTTGCCAGTGGCGACCAAGTGTTTGAATCGGTCTCTGTGGTGTTCAGATTGTCGCATCCCGTTGCTGTTTATGCTACCATACGTACCTTTGGTTCAAATGTGACTGTCATGTGACATGTGAGCCCAGCAGACATAGCTCCAGGAGGGTTAAAATCGACTGAGATGAAATCCTTCAGATGAGGTGAGATCCCGACCAGTTTGCAGTGGTTGACAGTGTAGGTCACGTTGGTGAGGACTAGTCTCAGCTTTAGCCTTTCTCCTGGCGAGAAATCTCTGAACTCAACTACCTCTGGCTTGCTGGTGAATGGGGGCCCCTGCAATCATTGGCAGTAGATTAGACTCTGTACTGTGTTGTTGACAGAACACCTATCTAAGATTAGGTAGGCTAACACAGACAGGCTGTTAAGGTTAAGATGGGTCAACTTCTGCGAGATTTAGGATTATAGCCAGCAGGCTGAAGTGGGGATTGGACTGACCTTGAATTCTCTGCCTGCAACGACCTGCCTCTTTACAATGCTCTGTCGTAGGTTATCAATCACGCCTGTCAGCGTCTTCTGCTCCAGTTTGCTCCTCTCTTTCTTCCTTCCCTTTGTCCCTCCATCCTTCACCTCTTCTCCTTCTTCCCCTTCTTCTTCAATTTTGTGGCTTTGCTGTGCTGCAGTCTCTGAGTGTAGGCTCCAGAGTCCATTGATTTCAGGCTGGGCCAGAGTTTCGCCACTAGCCTCTCCCTCTCTCCTCTCTCCCTCTCTTTCATCACCATCATATTCATCAGATGAAGACTCAACCACCTCTTCACCACCTCTCTCAAAACTGCTTCATCGTTGCTACTAATTGCAGGGTGAACCCCTTCATTATCCTCAGTTTCTTTGGTCTTGAGCCCACGTAGCTTTGCTTTGCATTCTCCCTCTCTCTTTCTCGTCCCATTCTGTTGCGTAGCATCGTGAGGCCAGCGTCCCTGCCAGTGGGCCTTCTCTGCCCTTTTCTCGCTCCTAGTCTTCATCTTTTCCTCTTCAAGGAGCCTTGCCACGATCTCCAGGTGCTTTTCCCGGCGTTTCTCTTCAATTCTGCTCTCTTTCTCGACTCCTCTCTCTCTCTTTTCCGTCGCAGCATTACCTCGTCAGGATTGTCTCCCTGAGTGGCTGCCTGGGTCCGCAGCCTCTCCTCACGCAGTCTGGTCTTTTTGTTCCGCTCTTCCTGCAACAGCTGAAGAGCCTGGATCGTACCCTGTAGAAACACATACCAAAAAACAACATGTTCATCTGTCATTGACCTCTACTCAAGGGAACATTTGAGGAAGGAAAACATTGAGGCTGCAGAGTAGTTTTCGCTACAAAATATGAGAGTGGGGATCATGTTGTACAGCAAGAAGCTTTCTCCCTATGTGAAGTGTAGTATAATAAGTCTTTCTGGTAGAAAGGTAACATGTTGTGGTAGAAAGCTCACTTCACTATTTTCAATGTTCCTCTTGAGACTCAGCACAGCTGTCAACCTCCGCTCACTCTCCCCTCTCTCCCTCTCCCTCTCCTCCTGCTCCCTCGTTCGTCGCTGCTCAAGCGTCTTCTGCAGGAATGCCTGACCATCTCTCATGGTCTGTCGAGCCCTCTCGATTGCCTCTCTGGTTCTGGTCTCTTCGAGTCTCCGAGAACTCTCCTCCAATCTGTGAGGGAAGAAACGGTACAGATTTCAAAAATGATGGCAGAGATTTTTGTTTTGACTTGTGACAGTGTGCCTAAACCTGTGGTGTACTTGCTATTGGCTCGAGGGTCCTTTCTCGGAGGCTTTGCTGTATATCTGTATCGAGCATTTAAAAAGTGGTTTTAGTACCCACTAATAATGTTGTTTATGTGTGATTTTTTGAATTTCTAAGATATCACAACCTTTCCTGGGATTTCTTGACGCGGTGGGTGTTGACCCTCATTCTGGTCTGTGTCTGGAGCCTCTGGAGTGCCTGGAGGTTCTTCGCTGTCTGTGCTTGTCTCTCTCTCACTCTCAGCTCCTCCTCCGTCTCGCGGTAGTCCGAATAGGCCATTGTAGCAGCCGACAGCTCCAACTGGGCCGCCTACGTAGTGTGTACACCAGTGGTGGTCAATGAATACATCACTATACGTGGTGTACATTATTGGGATGCCAATTTTGTGTACCTTAAAACAAATAATGTGAGAGCTGTAGCTTCTATCTTACATATTTTGGTCGGGTTTGTAAATCACAAACATTCCAGACCATTCGTGTTAAGATTGTGATTGTTAAAGAAAGGTACATTAATAGTTACAAACTTTCAAGTTCTCCATGAGGTCTTCCTCTGCATTTTCCTCTCTTTCGATCTCCCCCTTCACCCTCCTTAGCTGAGCCTTTAGAAACCCGCAGCTTGCCACTCCCTTCCCTTCTCCTCCCTCCCCTTCTCCTCCTCTTTTCCCTCCCTCCCCATCTCCCACTCTCCGATTGAATCTCTCCAATTCAGAAACTCTGTGCTGCAGCTCGGCACACTGACGATGCAGTGACTTCAAATTCTCTCTGCATGCAGCCAATGACTCTCTGGAAAATATAGTCCAACCATGAAACACTGAGAAACAACTATTGCAGGCGCTAAGAGTGATCAACTAAAACTCTGAACATTGCTATTGGTTCAGCCTCCATTGACTAGAGTGAAGATTTTTTTGACAAACTGCACTGTAAAAGATGTTTTGTGGCTCAAGTATTCCACAGCAATGATTCTGTGATTTAGAATGAGTGGAATGACTAGAACATGACTCAACTTCCTGAAAACCGTCGTAAAATACTTACTCTTGTTTTGCCACCTCTTCGTCTGCTTGAAGCTTTCTCTCCCAGTAACTGGTCAATGTGTCTTCGGAGGTGAGCCTGTCGCAGTATCTCTTGTTTGCTGATTTGCCCACTAGTCAGGGTCATCCCTTCATTACTGGTGATACGCTGAGCTGCGTTACCCGCGCCTTGCATCACGACTACTCCCGAGAATTCAGTCTCGCTGTAATTGAAATAGCTTATAGCTAGCTGCTGAATCTCTTAGGCGTAGGCAGTTACCGTAAGGAGTACATGTCTTCATTGCTGGACGACCAAACGTCGCTATCATCCTCACGCCTAAAGCCTGCATTTGAAAAAGTCAAGTTGCAGAAACTGGTCGCAAGAGAACGAGAAAAACTAGGACTATTCAACCTGCTTCTCCGGCGTCTCGTTCAGAGCTGCTGTCGGACATGGAGGACTCGGTCCTGGACAGAGGTGAAAAACTCTCCTGCTCGCTGGGAGCTCGCTCCACTAGAGACATGGTCCTCGCGACGACCTGACGACTTTTTCCCGGAACAATTCCAATTGGAGCGCATCAGCTTTGTTAGGCGCGCTCGCTCCCGGTAACAGTTGCCATTGACAACGTGTCGCGCACATGAGCGACTTAAAAATACAAATGACGTAATTGGTGTAATTATCAGGGCTAATCGGGGAAAAATGGCTACCAAGCGCTCGAAGTCTTCTTGCTGCGAGTACGAGTTCACAGACTCCCTGTGCCGCCTGGGGGAGGTTCTCCTGGCGTTCTCCAGCGGCGTTCTGACGATGGTGACGTTCGGGACGCCGTATTGGATGGTGAGAGAGCCGCAGACGAGCAATGACGCCGACGAGGTGTCCTACCACCTCGGTCTGTGGCAGAACTGCACCGTGCTGGACACCAAAGTCTGCACCGGGCTCCCTCTTAGAGGCGACTCCGTTCCGAGTGAGCCAGAGACCGCTTTTCGTTGCCTATTTAGCATCTTACCATTTGTGTAAAGGCTTTTGAATAGGGTTGTTTGGGTGTGCTAAAACCGTCTAAGTGTCAGATACACACACACACGTAAGCCAACAACCCTCTTTTTCATTTGCGCGAAGTTGAAATACCCGTGGCTGTTTTCTTACCATTGGACAGTTCCTCTTTATGTGGCAGTAGTCAGTGTATCATTGACTGGTTTCCTTTCCCCTCTCCCTCTTCCTCCCTCTATCCTAACTGCAGCTTATCTAATGATAACGCGAGTATTCATGTCCGCTGCACTGGCCGCTGGACTCATTTCCTGGCTCATCTGTGTACTGGCTCTAATGCAGCACAAATCCCTGTGGCTCTTCCTTTCGGCCATTGCCTACACCGTCCAAGGTCTGATGAATAGCCTATTGCACTCTCTCCCCCTCCTCCTTCTCTTTTTACTTTTGGCACCGTGCAAGCCCTATACGTTTCCTGTTCATATACAGTACCACTCAAAAGGTACCACTTACATGTACCTCGGTCAGGTTGAATTGCGTTACGTACAGATCTGGGAGAGAAAATACCATGACCAATGTAAGCATTGCAGTCCATAGTCTTTCAATGTAAGTCGCGTGCAAAAATAGCGGCACAGAGTCGCATTTGGAATGTTCACAGATCCGTGAGAAAGACGCACAATGCCATTCTGCTGTAAGATATCAGTATCTATTCACCAAATGCCTTGTTTGGATGTATACTTACCAACAACACACAGACACACACACAAATGGGAATAGTATCAGCTTGCTCATCTTACCAGTGGCTGCTTCAAAAGCTATATACCCCTTATTCAGAGGTATATAGAGTGTGTACATATACCATGCTTCCCTCTCCCTCCCTTGTTCACCAGGGTTTTCTCTAATGTTGGGACTATCCTCGTTCACCCGTGCCTACCACGACACAAAGGACGCCCATGCCAGCTGGTCCTACACTCTGGGCTGGGTCTCCTTCCTCTTCTCCCTCGTCTGCGCCACTTACTTCATCCTCATCGCAGTCTGGCGCATGCGGAGGCCGCGCGCCGCTAAAGTGATCCAGAGCTCCCAGCAAAGCTCCTACACTCCGTTGGCGCAGTTTGAAGAATCCTCCGACAGCTCCTCGGAGAATGACGAGAAACTATAAATAGATACATTACATCATCCCCATCGGTGTCAGTGTCTGTTACTAAAAATATCACCTCTCATCCTTTGTTCCCAAATATACCCTGTGCAACGATTATTGTGTTTTTTTCCATTGTCAGTTTTATACAGAGTGCAAAAATGAAATGCAGTGTGCCATAGTATTTTATGTAAACCACACCCACTAATCATAAGGGTTCATTGAGTCGTCTGAAGAAGTGTCTGTGTCTTTGGAGCTCTGTTGGTGGGTGTGGCTTCCTGGTGACTGTTGTGAGGAGTGCAGGTGGTGAGGTTGGTGATTGGCACCGGACTGTTTCTGCTGCTCTAAAGACAGGCCCTGGAACCTATTGTGTCTGTACTCCACTTCCTCTCTGTTACTGAGATCAGAAAGAAGAGAGAAAAAAGGCAAAAGGGCTTGTTAGCACATTCACTTGAGAATGAACTCATGCCACATGTTTAATGAAAGGAGTATTTTTGCTCTTCTGCATAAGAATCCTGCAGTCGATTTACAGAACTAGCAGAACCTAAGGAGCTGCCTGATATAAAAAAGACCCAGCACAGCAAAATGTAGAGTGAGTGAAGCACGGAACCAATTATTGATAGAGTATTACACGGACCTGGACGTCTTGCAGGTGAGGTAAACCATGAGAAATATGGCGAGGACCAGAGCGACTATGATCGCCCCACCGGGGATTCCTACCACCAGCGATATGGTCAAGTAACTCGAGTCCTCGCCTCCGTCGTCAGCGGGCAAAGGTGTCCCGTTTGGATCTGCTCACCGAAACAGTTAGTAACGGTGTTGGAAGAGGCGACTGCAAAGCCAAACACTCACCATTCATTCCTTTGCCAGGCAGTGAAGTTCAGAAGCTCTCTATAGCACCTCGGCCTCCACCACCGTTTTCACGATCAGCCCCTCCCCCACTGCTTGCCGGCGGCGTAAAATTTCCCCCCAGAGTTCACGGGTCACCTTGACGCGCGACGCGCTGGGCGTCGCCACAGGATCTCTCTCTTTCCGCTCCGTTGCTCTCTCTCTCTCCCTCTAGCTCTCTGCCTGACAGAAATATGGAGGAAAGAACTAAAAGAGGCGAGGGTCCTCGAGGCCCAGCCTTCACTAGAATTCTGATGCTCTGCGCGGGAGCTTTTGCCATCGAAACTGCCTACATGGTCGAGGAAGGATATGCTCTACCTGCCATGCTTGCGACTGGACTGCCAGAGACCGTAGCCAGCGCTATGTGGGCCGTGGGGCCTCTCCTCGGCCTCTTCTTTCAGGGCTACCTCGGTTCGGCGAGCGACCGGTGCACCTGTACGTGGGGGAAGAGAAGGCCTTTTATCCTCGGCCTCGCCGTGTGTGCCTGTCTCGCTGCGCTACTGTTCCCCTACGGCTCCTTCCTGGCTGGGCCCGTCCTTCGACTCGACGAGACCAGCCGCGGCTTCTTTGTGATGGTGTTCACGGCGTTTACTTTCGTCGCTATGGACTTCTTTCTCGACGCACTACAGTCCCCGTTGCGGGCCTACCTTCACGATTCGGTCTCGCCGGAGAGAAACGAGCGAGCCAACTACACCTTCACGGCTCTACTGTGTGCAGGAAATATGGCCGGCTCGCTCATCGGTGGAGTTCCCTGGTCGAGCATCGTCGCTAGACACCGGCAAAAGGCGCAAGGAGACGGTGGTGGAGGTTCGAGCAGGCAACTGGAGATTGTTTACGGCATAACTACGGTGGTTTTCGTGGCCTGCCTGTTTCTCTGTCTCAACAGCTTCAATGAGAAGAACCCTTGGCTTCGGGAGAGCCCACAGGTGGAAAAAGACACGCCTTTCCAGCTCCCTCTCACATCTCAGTCCGAGCCCGTTCTCTTGCAGTCTGGAAAAAACTTTGCCCGTCGACACAACAGCTTCACGTCACTCTCCACATTGCAACAGACTTCGATCCAAATCGTGAACCAAGAAGACTTGAATCGCCAACTAAATCCACAGTCACAGCTAAAGAGCAACGGAATTGTAAGGTGTATATCCCCGATCCCTAGGGCAGCCCCCATGTACAGGGCGGTGGTGGGAACATTGCCGAAGACCTCAAAAAACGGTTGCGTATCTCGTTTCGTCGGGGACGTTTACGACGAAATCTGCTGCACGATTCTCTTCTCAAAGTACACGTCTGCTCATTTCTCCCGTCTCTGTTGGACCGTGTTTTTCAGCTGGGCCGCCTTTCTGTCGATGCTGCTCTACTTCACAAGCTTCGTGGGCCAGGTGGTGTACGGTGGATCTCCACACAGCCCGAGCGGAGAAACAGAGAGGGAGCTATTCGACCGCGGAGTGCGAGTCGGTTTTCTTGTGATGCTGGTTCAAGATTTCGTGTCGGTTGGAAGTTCACTCTGTATGAAGTGGGTGTCTGATGTGGTGGGGATTCGACGACTGCTGGTCGGTGTCCTGACGGGCTACACGGCCGTTTGTTTTCTTACGGCGTCGTGCCCGAATCTTCTCAACGTTGTTCTGCTACAGGTGGTTGCAGGTCTGATGTACTCTAACATGCTGTCTCTCCCCTACACTCTTCTCTCCCAATACGAGGTATTATACACTATTACGTCACATTATTCTAGCATCCCATGGTCGACAACAAATTTTCATAGTGCATGATTAACTGCAGGAAAGCAGTTTTGTAGTTTGTAGGTTCGCAGCCATTGACCACCACACGTACTTATTATTAATTGTGAATTAAGACTTATATAGTACTATAATTCACTGCTATTTGTTAATGAAATTCCAAAGCTCCACTTCAAAGCTATATAGCATTTTGGAGGTTCTTGGTAAGTAACATTATAGGCTGTTGGTTGTCCAATAAACAGAGCTCCCACTGCTTTATTCATGTGAAGTCTGCTACGAGAAACCAGGTAGGGTTGACAGTGCTATTGAACCTCAGCCATTACCACACTGCATGTTTGCTGTGTAGCTAATAGCATAATGTTACATGTAGATTCACCATTCATATTTGCTAACAAACTCGCGTAGGAGACTGCTATTTTAGACACCTTATATACATAGGCAACTAGCAATTATTGCCCTAGAAGACTAGACCAAGCACATTTCACAAACATAATATTATATAGGACGCTGGCTTTGAAATTACACACAGGAGGAGGCTGGTAATATTGTCCTATATATAAGAGTAGACACCTGGACACCTCATCAGATATTACACATGTAGGACGCTGGCATCCATTTGTTCATCCACTGTAATTACACACACAGGAGGCTGGTAATTATATAAGAGTAGACACCTGGACACCTCTTTTAGACGTAGGACGCTGGCATCCATTTGTTCATCCACTGTAATTACACACACAGGAGGCTGGCATTCTTCTCTCAAGGCCTTGGCCAGAGAGCAGTGACATCACAGGAAAAGCAATCTCGCTGCTCTGCATGCAGATGTTCTTTGCCCAGTTTCTCGTGGCCACCTCCATGGGTTTTCTGATCCGGTTCTTCGGGACTCATCAAATCACGCTCTTTGTTTCGTTTGGCGCGTCTTGTCTCGCTGCCGTGACAGCACTTCACATCACCATCCCATCATCACAACAATCATCATCATCGTCGTCATCATCATCATCATCATCATCATCACTCAGTACAATTAACTCAAACACCGATTTTGGCATGTAAAACTTTTTACCACCATCAGTATTTTCAGACCTGTGTGTACTTTTTAATCACTTTCACACCATTGCGTATTTATATTGCAAGACTGATTTTGGAGTGGCAAATTTTTTAGCACCATCAGTATTTTTCCAGTCCGCATTATTTTTAATCATTGGTTTTGCAGTAATTATACGTACGTAAAGCGAGCATCAGTGGTTGCAAAAATTATTTGTTTAAAAGATAAAATCATTGCACGGATATATGTACAGTTTTTGGCTGACTAGTTGCCTGCGAAATGAATCACTTTTCTTATGCTTTGCGTCTCTTCAGCGGCACTGCCTCTTAGTCTAAAAAGGAATAGCACATAACACAAAGTAATCATCCACAGCAATAATGGTAGTATTTACTACAAGAATGTAATGCAGATTTTTGGCATGCGAACACAACTTGAATTTTAGTGGTCTTACGCGTAATAGGAATAAAATTACACTAGGATGGAGCGTTGGATACGGTGGTTGAAGCCAAGAATGGTAATGTGATTGATAGGCAAATTAAGAGACACAGAAAAATGTAGAGACCAAATTATTAGTGACACAGACCAAGATACCACCTTCATTAGATGACACCACAGTGAATTAACTTACTACTTTACTAAAGTGGGCCATTAACCAAACTGGCCAAAACCTCGCCACATACTTACTATGAAGTGTCATAATAATAATTATATAGTGATTGGGGTTTACTGCTGTGTCCGTGTGATCCTATACATGAAGCTACACTTGACTGTGTGTTACTGAATCCTGCAAGATATTCATTGTGGGTCCCTCACACACACACACTCTATCCCACTCACCCCTTCTTTGCTGTGGCCTTTGCCGGTTCCCTGGGCGGCTGAGACGTGGACTGCCGCACCTCCCCCTCCAGAGTGGACGCCACTTTCAGTGTCTCCTTCAGTTGCTTCAGCTCCACCTCTCTCTTGTCCCTGCTTCGAGAGTGCTCCATTTTCACCAGGTTGGCCCGCGTCATCTCTCCCTCAACTGCCTGCAGTACTTGCATACAGTTGCTGCACCTGCAGTCCAGTCGGCCAACAATTGTATTAATACAAGGTCAAAATTATTTGCTGTGCACCAAAAATTTTGAGTTCCTCACAAAAAACTATAGGGTATATAGCCACAACAGACAGCAAATATTTTGGCTGTCACCAGTTGTCTAATTTTTCAACCATATCCGACAGTTCCTCCATCTTTATGTCTCTTCCAATGAAACTCTCCACCTCCAACTAAACACCGTACAAAATGTTGAAGTTTCAGGAAAAAATTTGGAGCTTGGTTGTACTTACTCTCTCGTTCTTTTGGTCCAACTTTGCCTGAATGACTCCCGCATAGATGGCGTCTATGATCAGATCCTGTGAGACACGAATTGATCTGAGCATCACGCAGAATGACACGGCTTAGCGCATTATGATCAACTTATGAATTTGGCGGTCATTTGGTTTGTCATTAAAAAAATCTACAACGTACATGTAAGATGTCTGTCGTGCAAATTTAATATTTTGCTTGAGTAGATGGCTACCAATATATACAATTTTCAGTGACTGTATTTTAAATATACCTCCAGCTCTCGAAGATTTGTTATGTCCAACGTCACTAGCAACGTTGAATACGGAATTGTCTGCGAGTGAGAGAGACAGGGGTGTGGCTGTGGGCGGAGTTATGGGCGGGGCCAACTCACCCTGCACTGGGAGGCAAGTGACACGATTGTGAGGTGTTTCAGTTTCGTTAGTTGGGCGGGAGAGAGGGGAGGGAGACACGCGCATCTCCTGGGAACAAATAAAGTCGGGATAAAGTCGGGACATCACTGAAACTGAAGATTAGTTCAACAAGCTCACTCTTATAGTCTTCGTAGGTGCTGTAGGCAAAGATTTCCAGCAGTTTGACGCTGTTGGCGTGTGGACCGTTCCTAATATCCTCCACACACTTGCACTCCAGTAGCTCGCTGAAGACGTACACGCCGCTCGTCTCGGTGGCGTGTTTTATGAGCTCAGCCACTGCAGAGCCCTTGGCCGACTTTGCCAGCAGCAGGAACTGCTCCAGGGACTGACAGCTGATCAGCGTCGGTGCTGGAGGATCCTCCATGCCGGTTATAGCTGCTGAAAACAAGCAGTTCCTCGCTTCATGAACACTCACTTGCCAACCGTGCAAAATTATTCAGAGGGAAAGAGGTTAAATAGCTCACGTGTAATCACGCGATACCGGTGTGCTTACGTCAGCACACAAACACCGATCGTGTGCAATGGCCACGGCATCTTCGACGAAAAGACTGCGACAGGACTATCTGCGGCTACAAAGGGACCCCGTCCCCTACGTAGAGGCGACGCCGCTGCCCTCCAACATACTGGAATGGTAGGTGGACTCGCTCTAGCCGTGTCAACCACACGATGACACTGTTTCCTCCTCCCACCTTTCGTCTCTCTTCTCTTTTCCTGCTTGCTGCTCCCTTAGGCACTATGTTGTGAAGGGGCCTGAAGATACACCCTACCACGGTAAGAAAATAGACTCTACAGCGAAGCTAGCGGTCCACTAACACACTGGAAACCCTGACACAGAAGACATTGTCGATATTAGTGAAGTGTCCTCATTTCAAGGGTTGATTTGCATGCAAGAACTTTTCTTGTGCAAAAGAAAAGGTGTCCTTATTAGAGACGTGTCCTCAGTAGTGTCTGGGATTCCCACTGTACTGTTTACAATACGACTCAGTGGTATTACCAATGATGCGATATGCAGGAGGATTTTACCATGGAAAGTTGATATTTCCCAAGGACTATCCGTTCAAACCGCCGAGGATCATGATGATGACGCCAAACGGACGGTTTCAGACGAACACGAGGCTCTGTCTCTCGATCAGTGATTTCCACCCAGATCTCTGGAACCCAGCCTGGTCCGTAGCCACCATCCTTACTGGACTCCTCAGCTTTATGGTGTGTTGTGTGTTTGCCAAGTGTAGGATCGTGTGTGTTTGAGGGTTAAAGTGTAGTGCCACGTGTGTTTCAAGGGTTAAAGTGTAGTGCCACATGTGTTTCAAGGGTTAAAGTGAGTGCCACGTGTGTTTTAAGGGTTAAAGTGAGTGCCACGTGTGTTTTAAGGGTTAAAATATACAACAGTGTAAGGCAAGTACCATTATGGCAGTGCAACCTTAATAGAACACACTCTCCATAAAGAACAATTGCAGTTCCTTTTTGTATTATAACACTTATTCTCTCCCGTCCCTTCCTTCTTTCTTTTCCTATCTTCTTCTCCATCCTTTCCTTCTTCCCCCTCTCTCCTCTCCCCTCCCTACCCACACCCAGGTTGAAACAACGGTTACCCTAGGCAGCATAGAAACTCCGGTCGAAGTAAAGAAGCAGCTGGCAATAGCCAGTTGGTCCCACAATCTCCGGGACAGAATTTTCACTCAACTCTTCCCACATCTCTGTGACGTACGTGTTGTAAAAGTATTTTGTGCCCTGAAAAATCGTGGTGTCCAATTTTTTGAGATATAATTGACACTTGAAGTCTAAAATATTTTCCTGGAATGTAAATTTTGGAGAAAAATGACTTAATTTTCAGTGTCGCAAAAAAAACAAAAACATCTATAATGGCCAGAATCAGTGATCATTATTAGCCAAGACTTCTCCTATCCATGCAGGAAATAACGCAGAAGAAAGAAGAGTATGAGAAGAAAATGGCGGAGAGGGCGGCCAGACAGGCATCGCTGAGGTCCACTCTGGCCTCTAGTCACCATAGTAACCTAGTGGTGGAACACGGCTACTGTAACGGTGTTTTTGGTAACGCCGTACTTTTTGCCTCCCTCGCGGGGTTTGTCTACATTGTCCACTACATGGTCACGAATATGGTTTAATTGTCAGCAAAGCTACTGTACGTTTACAGCATCATCCTTGTATCTCTCTCTTTATAACAACAAGTCTCATTATAAGTGGATAGCCAGAGGTATGATGGAGTGTAGTAAACAGTAAAGTTAAAGCTATAAATGTTGTGGTAAGGGACTGGAGAAGGCACTGTTTGGTATATAATATACCAGCTATAATTATAGCAAGAAGTGAAATTTGATATTGTGTCAAAGGCTGTAGTTGAATCCTCTAAGCGTATTCGTTATTTCATCAATTTGGCTATGGTTTTAGTTTGCTAATCTCGTTAACAAAAGGATAAGTGCCACATTATTGAGTCAACATAATTTCAAATAGCCTATATATAATGGTTTCAGCTTTACTTTTTGCTCACATTAAACCAGACAGAGCGAAAGCAATAGTTTTGCTAGGAGCATGGAAAAGTGTGGTGTTGTATAATTACTGGCTAAAGAAGGAAACGATGGTCTAGTTTAGGTTTTTCGTTCCTAAGCCTCGGCGGTGGCGATGGTAGTAGGAGGGGCAGTGGGCGGGGCACCTACCCTCAGCTTGTGAGGGTTAATGGTAACGCTCTTGGTACAATTGTCTGTCTTGTAGATCCCGACTAGCCGGTCGGCGAGCTCAAACATGTTGTTACGCAGACTGATGATGATGAACTGTGCGTTCTTCGTGCGTTCCTGAAAGAGAAAGCGGACACACAGTAATGTAAACATTTGAACAGAAAAACAACAACCCAAAAGCTGTGTATACAAATAGCGCCTGAATATGCGTTCTCGTCCGTTTAGCACTTAACCAGCCACGAACACAATGTGTCCAGAGCCTCCATAAGTCCATAAGAATTTATATGGGGGTTATAATACTAGGCGCTAATACCTCATACATCAATTTCTGCTTATTTAAGCAGATACCCATGGCGTCCAAAGGGTTAAATGTCAATAAGCCCTCGGGGCCTTTTACGTAGTGTCTTCGCTGCACTCGGAACGCTACAGTGCAAGGACCTTTGGGCTCGATTTCACCGACTCCCCGTCTAACTATTGTTTATGTATTTCACAAGTGATCACTCGGACCACCTCACCTTGATGTAGTGTGCTACGATGGACACGTTCTTGAAGTCTAGCGCAGCGTCAATTTCGTCCATCACGTACAGTGGAGACGGCTTGTAGTGATGAAGAGCAAACACCTGCAAAAAGGGTTTCGAACGAACTCGCTATACAGTAGTTGAGAGGCAAATGTTGGCGTTACCCTACATACCAGGGCCAGTGAGCTAAGTGTCTTCTCGCCGCCGGAGAGATTCGAAATGTTCTTCCAACTTTTCTTTGGCGGTCTCACGCTGAACACGATTCCCTCAGAGAAAGGGTCGAGGCTGTCCACAAGCTCCAGCTCTGCATCCCCTCCCAGCGTTATCATCTGTGGGGAGAATCCGAGGTCGGGACATGGAGTAAAATAGCTAGGGAAAAGATGGAAAATTTGAAGATGCAAAAAATTTGTGAGAGAAAATGCGGAAAGAGGAGAAAAATTTGCGGGTCAGTAGCACAAAAATGGAAACAAAGGTACAGAGACGGGGAAAAAACAGTGGTGAAAAAGAGGAAGGATATGGAGATGAAAGAAGCCTGCTTGCAACACCGGGCAGTTACTGATGCAGAGAAGTAGCAAAAGACAAAGTTGTTTTCCTCAGACCTGATACATTTCCTTCAGTTTGTAAGTGATGGTCGAGAAGCCGGTCATGAACTGGTCGAGTCTCTGTTTGCGGAGCTCCTCGAATCTCTTCCTGGCTTCGTCTCTCTCGGCAGTGACGGTATCCAGCTCTGCCAGTCTCGCCGCGTGCAGCTCTTCCTGAGGGTGGGTGGGGCAGAACATCAATACAGTGGGACCCCTCTAATCTGGACACCAATGGGACAGAAGAAAGTGTCCATATTAGTGAGGTGTCCTGAGCATTATACAGTGGAACCCCTCTAACCAATGGGACAGAGGAAATTGTCCACGTCATTAAGTGAGGTGTCTTTATTCTCCCCTGACCTTCCTCTTGTACTCCTCAATGGCGGCCATGTTTGGAGTCATTTGTTTCATCCTCTCCTCTATCATTGTTATCTCATACTGCACGGGCACAGGGGCAAAAATTTGAGAGTCGACGCAAAAATTGTAGTGGGCTAAAATTTAGCTGAACCAAAAAGTATTTTAAAAATGAGGCGGCCAACAACATAAAAAATGTGTAGCACAAATCATTAAAGGATCAAGAGAGCCACAAAAACCTAGTCATTTATTTGGGAGCTAAAACTGACCTCAACAGCTTTCTTGTCGAGAGATTCCAGCTGTTCCTGGGTCAGTACGGGCACCTCTTCACCCCCAACATCCAGCTTCTTCATCTATTGACACGGGATTTGTATTACTTTTCAAGCACTTGCCGTAAAAGTACGAACAGTTTAGGCCACCTATTCAAGATTAGTGTTTATTTATTTTCACTGCACACTCCAGCTTTAGTCAAGGTGTTCAGGGTGGATGGTTGGCCTGTCCTTCCCTCCACTTGCCTGCTAAAACTACGAAAGGTTTAGGCCACCCTATTTCAGCTATCACACTGCACACTTTAGCTATAGTCAAGCTATTCAGAATGGTTTGTTGGTCTATCCTTCCCCCCACTTGCCTGCTAAAAGTACGAACACTTAGGCCACCCTATTATCCACAATCACTGAGTCTTATGGCAAACTGCCCCTTCACTACATACGTATTTCAAAGTCAGATTACCTCTTTCAAGTCAAATTACCTCATTTCTAAAGTGGTTGTTTTTATGATTACCTCATTCTTAAAGTGGTTGATTTTCTGCTGGTTTTCCTTCATCTTTGCCACGTACTTCTCCAGTTCGTGACGAACGTCCATCAACTTCCCCTCCTCCCTGGCCTCCTGCGCCTGCATCTCCTCAATCTCCTTCTTCATCTTCCCTATCAGCACCTCCTTCTCCTTCAGCTCTGCCTGTGGGGCAGAGAGTGCACGGGTTAGACATTCTGACGTAATCATCCCATCACAGATTTTCGGATATGTTTAAAGGGAATCATAAGGGTTAAATTTAGACTAAATATGGCAATAAGGCACATTTCATTAATGTTCTTCTGGATACGATTAGAAAGGAAACGTGACAGTACATTTAAAGGGCTATAGCATATTCTTCATTTGTTAGGACTTCTAAATTCTCCAGCGCCATTAGTGATATTTGTGCTGCATGTGAGGGGAGTGGGTGGGTGGGCGCTTGCCTCCATCTCATCCTGTTTGGTGACAACCTGTGTGGCTTCTTCCTCCAGTTGAGTCAGCACTCCCTGAAACAAGGAAGAGAGAGAGAGAGAGAGAGAGAATGGTAGAGGGGGAGGAACCAGTATATGTACGTATGTATGTGTATATTAACCTTGTGTGTGTGACCACGCTATATATCCCATCTTCTACTCGCATCTTTTCCGTTTGACGTAATGAGTTTGTTTACGTTGAGTATGGTAGTGTAATAGCTCTGTCATCATCATCGCTACTCATTCACGCACTTATCTATACTCACCGTCCTACTATCACACCACACTCCTCTAATTGTACTGAGCATGCGCCACAATACAGATGGAGGTCTGAGTACGCTAAGAAGGAGTGCAAGTGATCACAGATCCCACATACTAATACCTTCAGTTCCTCCAACTTGGCTTCAGTTTCTGCCAAATCTCTCTCCAGAGAACTGATCTTGTCCGCACACTTCTTCGTATCTCTAATTAGAGTGCACCAACGAAGAGGGAAACAAGTGATAAGTAGTCATAATGAAAATGGTATATAGTCATAATAATTTATGTAGTCTCGAGTGATTAGTGACTTAGTCGTAACATTATGCAATTGGAACATGATGTACTCCTGATATATTATATATATATATATGTAACATGACGTAGTCATGATTGTTACGCGACTTAAGAGCATGATGTAATCAATCTGCTCCTGATAATCATGTGACCTATAGCCGATGATGTAATCCCTACCGTTCATTGGTCTTGATCCCGACAGTAGCTCTAGTGACAGTTGCGTTTGCGTCGTCGATTTCCTTCACCAGTTTATCGACCATCTCCTGCTGAGGCTTCAGTCTGGCCCCGCCCACTGCCATTATCTCCTCGTGCAATCTACGTACAGCAACAGTGTAAACTGGTAGACTCTGTGACTCCGGGCCACACACACACACACATACCTTTTCACTACAGCTTCAACCTTGCCCGCCTTCTCTGAAGCTTTCTCATACTCTAGACAGCAGGTTAAAAATCAAGGGATAGTTAGTAGAATTTGTACGCTCCAATGCCTTCCTCGATTACAACTGACTACGAAAACTAAAACCTCTAGCATCTCTCATAGCTCCTTTTCTCTTCCTCCTCTCTCCCTCCCTCTCTCACCTCTCTCAAACGTCTTCACTTGTCCCTCTAGCTTCTTCAGGTGTGCGGCATCCAGTTTGCTCCCTCCTCCCTCCCTCTTCTCCCTCTCCAGCTCCCTCTCCCTCTCTCGCAGGGCCTCCAGCTGCAACCCGAGAACCTCGACCGACCTCCCGGTCTTCTTCAGCGCCGTCTCCTCCACTGAAACCTCTGTCTTTAGTCTCTTCACCTCTTCCTCCAGTTCCGACTTACGTTTGCCACACTCCTGGAAAAATTGCGAAAAAAACATGCCTTGCCAAAATTTGTTGCGTTTGTACCAATAATTATGCTTAAAATATGAAACATTGAATGTCATGGGATCATGTGATGCACATTACATCACTAAAGTACAGTGGAACCCTTTTCTTATCTAGACACCACTAAAATGGAGGACACGTACACCTCTCTAATAAGGACACCTTTCCTTACCCCTAGAACAGTTCTTGCATGTAATTTTTAAAAAAACACCTAATGGACACTATGTTGGTGTAAGGGGTTCCACTGTAAACAAACATGCACATACAAACATACCTCCAACTCTTTCTCTTTCCGAGTCAGCGAACTTTCCATCTGTGTCAGTTGCTGTGGCGACACGTCGTCGTGGATACGAGACGACATTCTCCCCTTGGCGACCTTTCCACCCCCTCCCGACATGGTACCTGCAACACGGCACGTGCACACAACGTGTAAAACAGATATTCACAAGTCTTTCTCATAAACGATCTCATAAGACTAGCTACGTAAGATTACTGTTTATCTGGTGATAGACAAACAGTATTTTGGTGGGAGGAAATGTTTGTAGAATGCAATGCAGGGACACAAGCTCTAAATTTGGAGTGTTCTCGTTCAAAAATTTGTAGCTATTTTAACCTGAGGTGTCAATCAACTGTCCTCCCAGTGTTACCACACGAAATCTAAATGAACAGAAGGCAGAATAATAAAACACAATTATATTAATGCACTGCAAAAATGATGAGTGTATGGATTACATACATGTATGTGTGCGCTAGAAAAACAGTGAACTTGGCACCAAGAAAATTAGTGAGGTGTCCCGCATATTTCAGGGGTTAAAAAGGACTGTTCTTGGGGAAAGAAAGGAGAGATGTGTCCTCATTTCAGTGGGTGTCCTGATTAAAGAGATGTGTCATCGTTTCAGGGGTGTCCTGATAAAAGAGAAGTTCCACTGCTGTACCTGGTTCTCCCCTGCAGGCCGATGCGAGTGGCCTGGTCGAGGTCAGTGGCAACGAGAGTATTCCTCAGGGCAAAGAAGAAGGCGGCCGCAAAGAGAGGGTCTTTGGGTCGGATGAGATCGTACAGCCGCGGAACTGACTCTGGGCTGAGGGAGAGAGAGGGAACATTTTCGTGAATTTGGATTCACTGTCGGCTCTAAAATTGTTAATAGGTGGTTTTGCTTTTTAGTTAGATGGCAATACTACACTTCCATGTGGAAAGACACCTCACAGCTTGGGCACTATTACAAGAATATCAAAGGGCTAGGGTGCGCACAGAGAGATTGTGTGCATGCGCAAACCATCAACATTGAGCCGCACTTTTTTTACGCATGTTCAACTGCCCATCCAATGCACCGTTACGTACGTACGTACGTGGTTATCTTGGATGTTGCACTCTTTCCTCAAATGCTCAATCTGTGAGAAAAGAAAGAACACAACTCTCTCTCTCTCCCTCTTCCACCTAACAACATTAGCACTGTCCTCATTTTATCTCTCTCTCTCTCTCTCCCTCTTCCACCTAACAACATTAGCACTGTCCTCATTTTATCTCTCTCTCTCTCTCTCTCCCTCTTCCACCTAACAACATTAGCACTGTCCTCATTTTATCTCTCTCTCTCTCTCTCTCCCTCTTCCACCTAACAACATTAGCACTGTCCTCATTTTATCTCTCTCTCTCTCTCTCTCCCTCTTCCACCTAACAACATTAGCTCTGTCCTCATTTTCTCTCTCTCTCTCTCATCACCTTATCCAGACCGATGAAAGTGGCCAAACCGATATTCCTCTTCTTCAGGAATTCGACACATTTCATGGCGGTATCCATGGTGTCGACAACAATGTAGTCCAGTGCCCGACAAGCCGTGCTCACGGCAACGTCGTACTTGTCGTCAATGGCTCCCAGGTCACCCAGTCGCCCGTGGATACCAGAAATTTTACAGAATCTCGTTGCTCCATCAGGGCCTTTAGCACCTGTCCCCTAGGGAGGGAGGGGTAGTAGGGAAACATGAACATGACAAGGGAGGGTGGAGCCCTTCTCTAAAACCCCTGAAATGAGGACACCTCTCTAAGGACACCCCTGAAATGATCGAGGACACCTCTCTAAGGACACCCCTGAAATGAAGACACCTCTCTAAGGACTGCCTCGAAATGAGCAAACCTGATAAGGACACCTCTTCTTTTCTCTCTTGCATGCAAAACTTGCTATAATGGACGCTTTCTTCTATCCCATTGGTGTCTGGATTAGAGGAGTTCCGCTGTATAATGCTCAGGACACCTCACTAATATGGACACTTTCTTCTGCCCCATTGGTGTCTGGATTAGAGGGGTTCCACTGCAGTTAGCAGCTAACTTGCTCTGATTGGCTTGCATGGAGCTCTTTGCGTCTTCCACGTTGCTTCTAGCCACGCCCACTTCCTTCCTAAGCCCCTCCCACTTCTCCGTGAGTGCCGTCAGCTCAGCCTGGGCCTTTGTAAGTCTCTTCTTCTTGGCCGGCAGGCTCTTCTGAAGTGACGTGTGGGTCCTGCAAGTGTGTTGCGAAATTACTCTGTGTAACTGGCAAAATATGTGAGCAACTTTTTCCGTCAAAAATAAGTATTGAGAATGCAGTTGGTGTGCTAAAAAAAGTGAAGTGTTCATGAAAAATTCTCGAAATCTCATGAAATTCGGGCTTTTTTTTGAAAGCTGGTATGGTATCACAATTATTAACCCCAACCTCACTGATACTTGGTATACATTAACCCCAACCTCACGGAAACTGGTATAATTTAACCCCAACCTCACTGATACTTAACCCCAACCCCACTGATACCAGTACACATTAACCCCCAACGTAGCACATTATTAACCCCAATCTCACTGAAACTAGTAAACATTAACCCCATACTCACGCCTGATCTTCTTCAAGTGACTTAGAGACGGTCTCAAGTTGTGTTCGTATTTCGTCGATTTGCCTCTCGAGACGAGTGTGTTTCTCTCTGTAGATTTCTAACTCTGCCACTGCCACATCCAACTGCAACAGGTGGGAAATGGAGAGGGGGGAGGAAGAGAGACAATCGAAACCGTAAACCATGAATGACATATAAAACCTGTATGTATACATAACCTGTAGGTATGGTGTGTCTGTGTGTGTCTGTGTGTGTGTGTGTTGCATGCGTGCATGTGTGAAGTAATGATCTGAAGAGGTTTTTAAATCAGGGTTAACTAAATAAAGGTCACGAAAGAACAGAAGGGACAAATGTAATTAAAAGAGACATACCTTAGATTTCGCCTCATTTACCGCCCTCTTCAAATCTATCAACTTTGTCTCGTGTTCCTGAGAATATCACACCAAACACACACCATTTCTCATCCAAACACTAACAATAATTATAGTGGCTATGAAAATGCTTTCAAAGACATTACTAATACTTTTTTGTGTATGGGTCGCAAGAGAAATTGTAAGGAGGAGTTTTAAAAAAACATAGCTTTCTATAAATTTTGCATACCTACCTCTTTTTGTGTATGGGTCGCAAGAGAAATTGTAAGGAGGAGTTTAAAAAAAACACAGCTTTCTATAAATTTTGCATACCTACCTCTTTTTGTGTATGGGTCGCAAGAGAAATTGTAAGGAGGAGTTTAAAAAAACACAGCTTTCTATAAACTTTGCATACCTACCTCCTTCTCCTCTGTTGTTCGACAGTGGCAGTCTTCAGACCTACAAACGTACATACAGTCACATACATACCAAGATGTACAGAAGAATAAAAGCAATGTTCCCTCACTCTCCATGACTTCCAGCAGCCTTTGCTCCTCCTCCTCCCTTCTCGCCTGTGCAACATTATCACAAAGAAGTTCAGTGGCAGATAGTTGTCCGAATGGAACGGTCAAGCAACTACGATGCGAGTGTTCTTTATACCAACACAACAACAAAACAACAAAACAAACAAAACCATTCACGACTCAAAAAATTGCGAATTGTGTTTTCAAATTCCACGAATTCCATTATATAGGCAACAATCAAGAAGACTATTCAAGAACAGTGGGGAAGAATATAGAAAGGCACACACATGACAGAGAGAGAGAGAGAGAGAGAGAGAGAGAGAGATGGTTGCCTATAACAACGTACCTCAAGGGTGACAAGTTTCGCCTCCGTCTTTGTAATCTCGCCGCGGTGTTTCTCCGGAGCAGCCTGCAGCTCCTTCAGCCTCCCCTCTCCTTCTCCAGGCTCTTGGTCGTCTTCTTCTGGGTATTCCTGGCGTTCTTCACATCCTGAATCAGAAACCATTCACTGATGTAAACGTTCTTGCTGGCTATAGGACACCACGCCGTAAAAACCTTCCGTTGATTAGGATGCCAGAACATCTTGCCTTGACTTATATCTAGTCTGAATTATACCCCTCCCCTAAAATTTTGTCCTCTCCCTTATTTCACAGCTTCAAATTTTTACAAATCTTTTGTCTTTCTCCCCTATCTCGCCCCAAACTAGTCTTCTCGAAGTTAAAGGAAGTGGTATTTGTGCTGGAGGTCTTTCACTGTACTTGCCTGTCTTGCTCTGACGTCCCTCTGCTCACAGCTGGCCATGCTCTCTTTACACTCCTCGCTGCCCTTAGCTAGACGCTCATATACTCTGAAAATGACGGAGAGAGGATTGGATGGAATCTTTGCCTTATAGTAATGTATGCACTCTATGACTTTATAAAACTGACACAGCGAATTGTAATCTTTTGCGGAAAAAGCAGGTTGACATCGACAAGCATGCACGGCTTGGCAATTTCGTAAATTAACAGAAATATGTAGGTAGTATGGAATGTAATTACTTGTAGTCCTTTTTCTGAGTTTTCAATTTCTCTTTCCTTTCAGCTGGGAGGAGAAAGACGACAAAAACGAGTAATAAAAATGTAAAACAGGACTTTTCCGCTCACTGTTGCTACAGCAACGCACCTGACAACTGGGCCAGAACTGTTTCGTGATCCTTGACCTGGGCCTCAAGCTCTTCCTTTCTTCCTCTCGCCTTTTGTTCGTGCTCTCCACATTCACAGCTGTGAACAGTACGGGTCGTAAAAGGGCGGTACTAAATCATGTATAAGTGTATTGGCAAAAAGGGTCAGTTCTTCATGTAAGACTAAGTTTTGAGTCACGAAATCTGCTGGTCAGCATTTGAAGCTCGTAACCCATGTTCATAACCTGTTTTTCTTATGGCATACTATGCATTGGGTAACCAACAACAGATTTCGTGACTCAAAACTTAGTCGTAACAAGGGGCAAAAAGACCCATACTCAATCAATGCAGTACCTTATATATATCAGCATCTATATATATCATGCGCATGCGTACAATAAATCATTATGAGAGTCTTCTAGTCAGTGTATTGGCAAAAAGACTCATACTCAATCAATGCAGCACCTTATATATTTTGTGCAGCTTTTGCTATATAGTATCGTATGCTCAGGTGCTGGATTCAATAATCATTAACGGTTTATTTCTAGTGCTGGTATTTGCTTCATCTTCAATGCACTTATATCACATCTTTTATTCATGTCGCATTGCAGATACAGTATGACATTTAGTAAGTCGTTTGTCTAAGTCACTCCACAACTTCCCCTCATGATGCCTGTCGTAGGTGTCATTTAAACCCTGTCTGTGACGAGTTTACATCTGGGTGAGATGGTTGCTCAGCAGTACTACAATTAATGTTGCTAAATATGAAATTGGGCTGATGCCCGCAAGAGTGCATAACGCAGTTAGAAGCAGAATGGTGCCGTACAGGAGATATAGGAGATGTTGCGCAATGGGGCCCATGCAAGCACTCCATCTGGTGTTTCATTTTTGGTATATACTGCCATTCACTTTAAAAAGGCCTCCACCTCCAGAACTCACTCTAACAACATACTCACATTTAGCACTATGCCCACACATTTGGGATTTTCACGTTTCACTTTCAGTATTCTGACAGGTAGAGAGAGGGTGGGTGTGTACATATATATACTGACATGTATCTCTGGTAGAGGGTGTGTACATATATATATACTGACATGTATCTCTGTAGAGGGTGTGTACATAGATATATCTGACGTGTATCTCGGTCCGAGGGTGTGTACATCTATACTTGACATGTATCTCTGGTAGAGGGTGTGTACATTTCTATACTGACATTTATCTCGGTAGAGGGTGTGTACATATACTGACATGTATCTCTAGTAGAGGGTGTGTACATACTATACTGACATGTATCTCTGTAGAGGGTGTGGTACATATTATATACTGACATGGGTATCTCTGGTAGAGGGTGTGTTACATATATGAAGCTACATTGTATTCTCTGGTAGAGCGTGTGTACAGATATACTGACATGTATCTCTGTAGAGGTGTGTATCATATTATGACATGTATTCTCTGGGTAGAGGGTGTGTACATATAAAATTATACTGACATGTATCTCCTGGTAGAGGGTGTGTACATATATACGACATGTATCTCTGGTAGAGGGGTGTGTACATATCTACTGCCACTGTATCTCTGGTAGAGGGTGTGTACATATATACTGACATGTATCTCTGGTAGAGGGTGTGTACATATATACTGACCTGTATCTCGGTGAGAGGTGTGTAGCATATATATACTGACATGTATCTCTGTAGAGGGCTGTGTACATCTCTGGTAGAGGGTGTGTACATATATACTGACATGTATCTCTGGTAGAGGGTGTGTACATATATACTGACATGTATCTCTGTAGAGGGTGTGTACATATATACTGACATGTATCTCTGGTAGAGGGTGTGTACATATATACTGACATGTATCTCTGGTAGAGGGTGTACATATATACTGACATGTATCTCTGGTAGAGGGTGTGTACATATATGACTGACATGTATCTCTGGTAGAGGGTGTGTACATATATATACTGACATGTGATCTCTGGTAGAGGGTGTGTACATATATACTGACATGTGTATCTCTGGTAGAGGGTGTGTACATATATATACTGACATGTATCTCTGGTAGAGGGTGTGTACATATATACTGACATGTATCTCTGGTAGAGGGTGGTACATATATATACTGACATGTATCTCTGGTAGAGGGTGTGTACATATATATACTGACATGTATCTCTGGTAGAGGGTGTGTACATATATACTGACATGTATCTCTGGTAGAGGGTGTGTACATATATATACTGACATGTATCTCTGGTAGAGGGTGTGTACATATATACTGACATGTATCTCTGGTAGAGGGTGTGTACATATATACTGACATGTATCTCTGGTAGAGGGTGTGTACATATATACTGACATGTATCTCTGGTAGAGGGTGTGTACATATATACTGACATGTATCTCTGGTAGAGGGTGTGTACATATATACTGACATGTATCTCTGGTAGAGGGCGTGGTGTTTGCGAGATGCCTGTGTCTTCATCGCCAGATATTCCTCAGCCTCCTTCTTAGCCCCTCCAGACCTGCTTTCTCTTTCTCCACTGACTTAACCCTGTTCAACTGTGGGGAAGGGAGGAGAGAGGAAAGGAAGTGAGACCTCCCCAAAGGAGCCTCTGAATAAAGGACACCTCTCTATAGAGACACTTGGTTCTGCCCCATACTAATACGTTAGTGTATTGGTTGGTGATATTTCAACTGCCAGCCTACTGGTTGGTGATAGCCTACCACAGTCAACTACAATGAGTAAAGGACACCTCTGAATAAAGGACACCTTGACACTCTCAATCTCCCTTATTCAGAGGTTTCACTGTATACACCTATACAAGGCAGACCACCAGCACACAAAATAACTGTGAGGTATTAAAGTTCTTCAAAAGAGGATACATGAACAGTTCTCGTGAACCAAAGGCAGGTCAGAAGTATCAAGATGATTTGTAACCTGGGTTCTGCCAAGGATAGAGATATTTGCCTGCTGTTTGATGCCCCCAACATTTCTCTTATTCTGAGGATTCACTAACACGATATTCATACCTTCTCCCCTCGTCCCTCGTTTAGTTCATCCACTCTCTTGTTCATCTCTTCGATCGGTTCTTTCAGTCGTGACGTTCCAATGATGTCTTCCAGAAATTCCAACATTCCCTCATCGTGCTCCGTCTGTGCTCTTGGTTTCATGAGAGCAATCTGCTCTACCTCACCCTTTGGGGGAGAAGAAGAAGAAGGAGAGAGAGAGAGAGAGAGAGAGGGAGGGAGAGAGAGAGAGAGAGAGAGACAGGCCATCTTGGAATCCTTTCGGATACGAAGCTCCCATACTGTAAGCCAAAAGAGCGAATGGCTAAATTTCTTAAACAGTTGGCTACAAAGTTTGCTACTAAAGTAGTCACTTTGGCTAGGAAAGTACGGCAGTTTTGAACACACATGCACAGCAGAACTAAACTAGCCACATGGGCTAATGCTATAGTCACACTTTGATTTATGTATATCCATACTGGCTCCATAAGTGCTGATCTTACCATGTGTCTATAATGCAGAGTAGGAAATACGAGAGCTGACAGTGAGTGTGTGTGAGTGAGTGCGGATCCACTGGGTGTCCTATAATACACATGTAGAGCATGTTCCACACACTACTGACTGGTGTAGCTATGCCAACAGTCGCTGTCGCTGACAAGTGCAGCCGTGTTCCAAAACAGCCTACAAAACCACTCTCACAGTACTTGTTGCACGACCTCTCAGGGCCACAAGGCCGACCACAGACTTTTGCAACTCTTTCTTTCGAATAATTATGTGTATTATACATATACCACCAGTACTTAGTGATGTAAAATTGTCTGAACCAGATTTTCTCGTGGATATTCTTAGAGTCATATTTGAGGGTGCCTTGTAGCATGGCAAAGGTCAAAGCAAAGACGTGTAGACTATGTGTGTGTGTGTGTGTGTGTGTATTAACACTTAACCAGCCCCGGACACATAAATGTGTCCAGAGCCTCCATTAGTCCATACCAATTTATATGGGGGTTATACTAGGCGCTAATATACTTTATACATCATTTTCTCCTTAAACCCATGGCGTCCAAAGGGTTATTACCATTGTGGTTTGTGCAGTGGAGTAAAGCTGCACGGGGAGGATGGAGGAAGTGGTGGGAGAGAGTGGGAGAAAGGGGAGGGATGTACTATAGCAATAGAGTGGGAGGATAGATAGATTGCCAGACTACCAAACCAGCAATTACGTGTTTAACCCTCGGTGCACATGTGCAGCGAGGGTTACCCTCGGCGCGCACGTGCAGCGAGAGTTACTTGGTTTGTAAGCGTGTCTGTCCGCCTGTCTGTCTGTTACCACGTTTTCTGCGACTACGCGCAGAGAGATAACAAAACAGCGATACCAACGGGTTCGTCGCTACACTGGCTTCATTTTTTTTACACGACTCTAAATATCCACGAGAAAAGTTCAAATTCGCTCGCCCAAAATGTTTTGCATCTGTTCTAGTATAGCGGTTTTATTACCTGAAGAATGAGAAATCTGTTGTGATCGAGATCGATTCCGCTCTCTCTGAGGAGAGCTGCGATGTCTTTGAAGGGTTTCCTGGTGTCGTTGAGACTGTAGTACGAACTGCTGTCTTTGTGGGCCGTCCGAGAGATGACAAACTGACTCCCTGGGACCACAGAATACTCATCTCCCTCCTGTGTGTGTGTGTGTGTTTGTGGGGGTGATCGAGGAGAAAGGGAGGGAAAGGGGGAGAAAGGAAAGTGACCAAACACAAACACAATGAGACCAGAGGCTGGGAGACTTTTGTCAACTTCACTACACGCGGCAGTGTGTGTGTGTGTGTGTGTGGGTGAGTACATCCAAGACACACAGGACGACACTTTTCAAGAAAAAAAGTGACTTGCACAGACAGATAAAGGGCACTTCCCATAGCTCTAGTGTATGAACATTTTCTTTCTACAGATATTATACATGACATGATGTCATGCAGTACAACTGTCCGCGTGTGTGCTTAGTTCACGGCTAGTTAGTTTAGAGGAGGGAACAGGAGGTGTATATAGAGAAAGAAGAGAGAGAGAGTGGTGGTTTAGGCAATGTTTGCGTATAGGACATCCTCTATTGTTCAAGTTTACCTTACAAAACCACAGTTTCCTCCTCCTACTATGTGAATATACTACATACATACATACGTTAACTTATATATTATATAGTGTAGGTGGTGAGATATTCACGTAAACACTTAATATGTGAATACATAGTGTAGCGTAAGGCAAATGTTCTCACCACCAGTAGTAAATACATAGTCGTGCTCTGTGTTCAGCTTCTTACACACTGTTAGGTCACACTTCAGGCATGCAGGCAATTAGTCATGCTTAGGAATGTGTAATCAAAGATATCTACGGCACAATGTTCTGACACGGACGGTTAAACTTGAAATCACGCACTCCCCTATCTTTGGTTAGCTGCAAGCATCCAATGTTGTACCTGATTGTCATGGGAGGTTAGGTATATAGGCTGGGCACTATACAAACAGCACCTTCATGATTATCAATCTACAGCTACACAACAAGATATGTAATTCTCGAGCTTATCAGTTGTAGTTCGCTACATGCTAACATGCTCTGAGGAATGCAGCTACCATGACGATGCATGCATGTGCACACCACCACACAGCAGCTATAGTCATGCAGCCACTGTAGCAAAGTCTTTTGGTCACAATTCGGGGGTTCACAGCAAAATGCGCAAAACAAAAGCGAAGCCTTGTTTAGTTGTTTGCGTCGCAACGTGAAAACAAACAGAAAAACAAACAGCGGGAAACAACGCACGACATAAACAGGACTCACCATGTCAACAATGTGTTGAAAGTGAACAGCGACCGTGCAACTCTGGAGGTCTCGATGCTTGTCGGAATTGTGGATGAGTACCGATATCTTCTTGGAGCGGATCTTTCTCGCGCGGTAGCCAAACACGAACAGCATGGAGTCAATTACGTTTGACTTTCCGCTCCCGTTGGGCCCGACTATTGACGTAAAGCACTGAGAGTGAAAAACAGAATGGAATATGAACAGTCAATACACCCTTCTGCTCCCATTGACGTGAAATACTAGAGAAAAAAGAAGGGAATATTGATATAAACTCTTTAGTTTCCCAGTTAGAGAGAAAGATAGTTGAATAATGGACACTCAATATGCTATTCTGCTCCTAGTGATCGGTATCATGGGATCAATTGTTTGGCAAGTTGCTCAAAAGTACATAATCAGCAAGGTTTGTAGCTCTATAGCATTGGTGGCACGCACGTAGTACTAATGAAGAGTGAGGATGAGAGCAAGAGAATAGAGGGGAGAGAATAAGGGAGATGTAGGAGGAATTTAGGGCGTGTTTACTCAGACTTCTGCCAAGAGACATGCACTGCTGTTGTATACAGTAACTAATCCGGACACTTAGAAGAAAGTGTCCGTGTTAGCGAGGTGCCCCTTTATCAGTGGTTACACTACATGCACAAACTGTTTGGGGAAACAAAAGGTGTCCTTGTTAGAGAGATGTCCTCATTCCAGGGGTGTCCTTAGAGAGTAGCTCCACTGTATGTATATAGCTTGAAGATTGGTAGGCATAGCTACGGTATTCTGACACTAAACACTAAACATGTGACCATCATGGATTCGTTCCTCTAATGTTGTTGCCACTGGAGTGTGTAAGCCAATACCATTGTGTGGCTGCAAGGCCGCACTTTGCTCTAGGATCAGGTGGCGTGACTACTTACAGCAGCTGCCAAGTAAAGCCCACAACACCAGCTATTAGCAGTTGGAATTGAGCATGTGAATGCTCTAACTTTAACTGCATCTTTGCTGGTGATAATACACGTAGCTTGGGCCAAGTTTATTAATGTTTTGTCAATAAATAGGCCAAATACGAACTGAAATATCTAGCAGGGCATTTGGTGGTAAATTATTACCATTATCCATGTGTACACAGAGGAACTCCTCTAATCCAGACACAAATGGAACAGAGTAAGTGCCCATATTAGTGGGTTGTCCTAATTCAGGATGCAAAACTGTTCTTTCTTTGGGAAAGAAAAGGTGCCCTTACAGACAGGTGTCCTCGTTTCAGGGGTGTCCTTAGACCTTTCAATGTGGTGGGTATTGCACATAGAGAGTATACTGAGCTGACACGAGTGAGAGAGAGAGAGAGAGAGAGACACGCGGTGTGGGGAGCATTCTTACGGAGTTGGGGAATGAATTCCCCAGACATGCTGTTAAGCAACATTTGCCGCTAGTACAGATGTTGTGGCCACACATTTGCCCGGCATTCCTACATCTCCCTATCACCACAGACTACACACCTACATACACCGTAGTCCACGTCTCAACTTTTGCACATCGGCTGTCTCATCAACCAAGGATATCTTACTCATGTTTTCTCCATTTCTCCATCTTTCCTTCTCTCTCTTCCCCAGCCCTCCCTTTTCCCCTCCTTTTCTCCCATATCCCTCTCTTCTTCCCTCCATTACCTACCTCTCTAACCCCTTCCCTCCCCTCCCCCTACTCCAGTATCCTGGGCCACATTCCAACCCTTCAAAGTGGCATTATACAAACACTGGATATTCTAGCCGGTCTAGTATATCCTAATCCTAACCAACTAAAAGATGTGCGTTTTTGTTCTCAGTTTCTGGTCTAAAAGGGGTGCCTCTTTTATGTGGTGTATACTTCACTCTGTACCTATGTTGTATAATTATAGTGTGTCATTAGGACACCACAAAACAGGACAGAACTAACATGATTCCCACGGAAACCCAAACCTTATGATTCTCATCATCTTAGAGATTGGCAATTCTCACGGCACACACGTATATACACATAAAAGCCCAACTCTCATTGTGAGCTTTAATCAATCAACCTCCACTTTCCCTCTAGAAACATTAACACAGTTATCAAGGTACATATAATATATATGTATGTATACTAGAGTCAATGGAGTAATCCGAGAAGGTTTGATGCACCAAACTAGCCCACAACCACCCAATAAGTGTCAGAGTTACCAGGGCAGGGGAGTTGCCCCAAATGTTCACAATCTCTCCACCACAACAGAGACCAATGTAGATACAAACCCCGCCATAATGCAACAAAGGGCGACTCCTCACTAACACTATATACCATAATACAAACAGCATATTGTGGAGCCAGTGGGCTGGTACATGCACAGTATGACAGAGTAGATTGGTATGCTCTGCTAATAAGGATAATAAGCTACAAAACAGCTACGTATCAAGAGCTTCGATCATTCCTCTGTCTATGGCTGAGTTTACATAAACCATGCTGGAAGGTTTGCCTTGAAACTCCATGGAAAAAAACAGACACACCTTTCATATGTAGTGAAACTACAGCTACAGAAAGAGCATAAGAGTGAGACATAATGAAACTATGTGGTGCCCCTATAAAGTAAAGCCCAGGCCGTTTATGAGGAGGTGGTGAGGCTACTAACTAAGGCAGCCACAGAGGCCCTACCGTGAAGGACAGAATCAGTGCAAGTGCAGTAGTACATTTTGTCAATGGGCCTAATGCTGAGCTACATACCACGGCCCCATTCTATAGTACAAACGACATCCAACGGCCATTCTAGGCCCATCAAGTCCAAAGCCATAAAAGTGGACAAGTTTGGCAGCGTCTGACATTCTACGACGAGCTCGTAACGGAAGTTATCAGCGGGGAAGTCGATAAGTAAGCCGGACAGTGTACTACGAAACACGTCATTTTAGTCTCCCGCAGTACGGTATTATATATACCTTGTGGAAGGGACCGAGCTCCTTGACCCCCGCGTAGGACTTGAAGTTTGTGCACACGATCTTGCTGATCATGAGCCGTGGCTGATCCGGAGTCGCTACAGCCTCACGCTGCTCCTCACCCTCGCTCGCTCCGTCCGCGTCCATATGCTTACTACTCCTTTCCTCCTAGGCCCTGTGCAACAAGGTCACATCCAAAAAACGCTCGTAGACCCTTTTGGATCAGCTATATAAAGCCCGAGAACCTCGGACTATGGCAGAACGATTCTCTTGGTGCGCTCCAATTGGATTTTCCCGCCGAAAGTTCAATTTGGGAAGCTAATTAGCTTCCTGGTATCCAGGAAGTAAATTTCTAAATCCGTACAAATTATTTCCGATGACCGGCTGTTGTAATTCAGGAATGCTTGGAATGCGTCTGGCGCATGTCGTGTGTTATGATGATGGATATTTCATGACATGCACACAATAATTCCCATCCAGTATTAGTCGTCATACGAGTGATCGTGAAGAGAGAGCAGGATCGACAAAAGGTATACCTCTAGCCAGGCTCTAAATACAAGAAAAATCTGTGATCTTGAAGATCGAGACGAAAAGTGACTTCATCCAGCCACGATCGCCCGGGGGAAAAGTCCGAGTCTTCATCAGCGCTGTTTCTGGAGGTCTCATCTGCGTGTTGCTGAAGGAGCGAGATGCCGCCGAAGAGAGACAAGCGAAAGGGTGGCGGGGCGACGGGAGGCAACAACGGGACGGGAGGAGGAGGTGCGGGTGGCGTCGGTCGCAGAATGACCAGGGGCCATAACGCCTCTTCCTCGGCAGGAGCCGGGGCCAACAGTGGAGTTCCGTCTTCGGGTGGCGCGGGTTCGAAACGCGTCTCGACGACGCCCAAACCGAGCGACGGCAGCGGGAGAAACACGAACAACAGCCGCGGAAAGAGGCGATTGGCCGCCAGCCGCACGCCGGCGGCAACCGTCAAGCGGGTGACTGGAAAGCGAGTCATGACGCGGAACAAGAAGGAGAAAGAGTTGACTAGTTTCAAGGACGAGAACGGGGAGGTGTACAAGGCGGGAGGTTAGTGGTGTAACAAAGAGCTAAAAGTTTTTTCTGGCTGCTTGGCGGAATTTGTACAAGTTGTGGGTTTGAAAAAGAGTGATGTATTTGCATGTAGTGACCGTCTCACACCGGTGTATAGTGCAGCTGTCTTATTTACTATCCCTCTCTCTCTCAGATTTTGCCTATGTTGACAGCCAACAGCCTGACCTACCACACCATATCTGCATCATTAGGGACTTCAAGCTTGTGAGTTTCTATTGGGTTTCTCAGCACAGTGTATCCCGAGTGCATGTATACATACCTACGTGTTGCTATCGAAAACCGTGACACGGGTGATGTGTAATTCTTATGTTTTTACACATAAAGGAAAATAGATAACCTTTTAGCCTGTGTGTAAACACCGGCAGTCCTCCCCCCTGTGCATATAATGTAGCTCAGCTCCCCTGTATTGTGTAACTCCCCGTGTAATAATGTAGTTGTAGCTTTGTGCAACGGGTGGAGTGTTTGCTGGATGGCATGCGGCGTATCTTGTCTTCCAACAGCCGCTGCATTCTATCAAGAACTTGTCGTATTGTGCTTGTAATTTGTACGTGGCGTGTTCCCCGACACCCTGTGAGTGTGTTGGGCATCGCGATAACACACAGTCGCAATGTTTATAGTTTGCAAAACTCTATTGCAGATGTGCATAGTGCACAGTATTGAACCTTCCTCTTTAAGGACACCCCCTCTCACAAATGTGGACCCTTTCATCTTGCCAGTAAATTGGGACCCCTCTCTAAGAGGACACCCCTTTCCCCGAGAATAGTTTGTTGCGTGCAATTCAACCCCTGAAATAAGGATACCACTGGTATAAATGTCTAGAATAGAAGGATTGTTAAGGGGATAACCTGTCCTGGTAATATGTCATCAACTCTAGTAGTAGCATTCTCTCAGGTAAAACAAGGATGCTAATAGTGGGATTTTTTTGCCCCAAGTTTCGCTGGAAAGGCTGTAATTACTGACTCATCCCAATTTGCAGAGGTGTGTTGATTACGAGTTGTATTATAATGGGAGCATCCCTCTGAATGCTAATGTACACATTCAATGCACAGTATTCCCAAATTTGAGGCTGGTTTCATAACTTGCTTACTCCACGTTATGTTATGTTATGTGATCTGATCTGATCGTTAGTGATTTCATCATTTACTACGATTGCTACACTCTACCAAATTAACGGGTCCTGTTAGTGGGTATATATGCCTACAGGTATCATTTGATATTATAGTAGTGGATTTGACATCTGTGTTGTAGGCTTGTTATTTCAAGCAAGGCTGTAATGTGTATCTACTCATCACAGAATAACACGCTGTCTTTACTTACCCATTGACGCCTGTACCTACCGAAGTAGGTGCCTGCAAACCCATCTGCTAATAGAGGCGTGTTAGTAGTACAGTGGGGATACCTCCAATGTGGGTATTATACCCAATAGAACAGAGAGTGACCCTATTAGCAATGCGTCCTTGCTTCAAGGGCATTCAAGAAACTGCTCTTGAGGAAAGAGAAATGACCCAGTAGAGCTATCAGTACTACAGTCTGCAGTACTTTGGCGTCCTGGTGTCATTAATTCAGGGGTGTCATTGGCTATGGTCCCTTGGCCTTACTGTATAGTCCCTTGGCCTCTGTGCTTGAGATTACACTTTCCTTGGCCTTACTGTATAGTCCCTTGGCCTCTGTGCTTGAGTGTAGTGCAATACACTCCCTTGGCCTTAGCAGTGGCAGTGCAATTAGTGCAATTGAACTGATAGCTGTCTGCCCAGCTAGTCATTGTGAGGCTAAATGCCAGAGCCCACATGTCTGCATTGTATTGCGGTGCCCTACCTTTGGTGCTGGCTGGCTTGTGGGGGACAAATACAACAAGGGGTGGTCCTCCTACCACATGTAGTTTATATATACACCATGATAGGGGTTATAATTGGAGGATTTATAAACTTAAACTCACTTGAGTTGTGGCATATGGAAAGTATTTGGGGGTGGCAGTTTAACTGGAGTTTTTCTTGCATGTGGGAGGGATGATAAGTAGTTTAAGACACAGTTTCAGTGGGTATGAAAGGGATTTATATAAATGCAGCATTACAAACGTAGAAAGAGAGCAAGTTGGCTTTATACACCACCGGCTTGTGCCAAGGAGACAGCAGGTAGTGACAGGGCATCTCTGTTTGGGCGACGGGTCTTTGGGCGACGGGTCCATTGCCCACAGAGTGTGTAGGTGGGGGTAGTCATGAATACAATCAACCAACCAGCGTAATTTCCACGGCATATGTGTGTTTGTACTGGCAAACTTCCTCTATTCATGGCGGCATTCCAGACGTAATCTGACACTTGGAGCGCAGCATGTTGCTCTAATGACTCCCATTTTGATGCCTCCTTTCTTAGAGTTTTGGTGCCCCTTTGTACTGTGATTCAGTGTCTACAGTTGAACCTCAGATAAAAAGGACACTCCCAGTAATATGAGAAACCCTCTCAATAACGGACAAAACTTTGTGTGAGGTCTTGATGAGAGCGGAAGTTATTTCTTGATTTTGTACAACTCTGAATGTTGAAGTCTTATACATTCTTCAACAACGCAAGAATGTGCAACGTCTAAGTAGAGGACAAAGTCCAAAACATTCATCTTTCTACACATTTTAACCTCCAAAGAGAGGACAACCTCCCTATAAAGGATGTAATGTCTGGTCCCAACATGTCCTTTATTCAGAGGTTCTAGTCAGTTTTATCTCTCTCTCTCCCTCCCTCCCTCCCTCCCTCCCTCTCTCTCCCTCTCTCTCTCTTCTCCATCCCTCCCTCTCTCTCTCCCTCCTCCCTCCCTCCCTCTCTCTCTCTCTCTGTCTCGTGGTAGGATCGGAAGGACTCGGTAGTGGCGGAGGTGAAGTGGTTCTACCGAGTGTCAGAACTTCCCGAGTCTGTCTACCACCTTCTGATGCAAGACAGACGAAGCGGTTGGTGGACATTTTCTGTCAACTTTCTCTCTCTCTCTCACTGTCTCCCCACTCCCTCCCTAATAATTACCCCTCTCTGTCAACTATGTGGTTGTTTTGTCTCGGCAGAGCCAATGAAAACATAAACTCTAACCCAAACATCTTCAATGGCAATTTCTGGACGTCTCGTTTTACTGCACTTAGCTCACCTTCCCCATCCAATCAGAGAGGGAGCAAAATAAAACAATTTCTACATTTGCAGATTGTTTTCGCACGTAAAATTTCACAGAGAAAAATTTTATGGATGGCTCTCAAAAATACCTCTTATTTTATATGTTTCCAGCTGTATGTTAACGTGTGTATACTGTTTGCCTGTGTGTTTGTGAGTGTAACAGATATACCGGAGTGAGATGAAAGGTTAGGAAGTGGTACGGTATCAATATTGCACCCTTTGTTTAACCACCGGACGACACGGTGTGCCCTTGTGCGTGTGTGGCTTGTGTATATATACCCATATGAATTGTATCTGAGGCTTTGGTGCTAGCCAGCACAACTATAACCCCCGGTGCCTATGTGGCACTGTGATTATAGTTACTTCTGTCAAACTGGCTAATGCTAAGACAAATGCTTTGGAGGGTTTTTTGCACTTACGAAAAGCTGAATGCTTGCTCTAAACATCCCAAGCCCTAGCTACTGTAGTGAAAGGTATATACTTCAAGCTTCAATGTATTCAGTGACAAGAGTGCTTTACATGCGTGGACTAAACCCTTAGCACATTTGTGCTAATGGACCAGTTGCAGCCTATTGTGGTGCAGGCTAAATGGTGCCTTGTGTCTGACGCTATTAGATCAAAGGGTCTCTAGAGTACCTGCTGGGGGGGGGTGTCGATATGTTGTTGGTGGGGTCTATAATTATTGTATGGCACAGTGTTGCTGGGGTATCTTGTTGTGTGGCAACTGCTGGGGTCTATACTGTAGCTAGCACATGGGGTTTATGTTGTTGCTGGGGGGTCTATATATATATATATTTTGAAGCTAGTGGAATTTTCAAGGGGGGAAACCATGCATTTTATGGGATTATATTGCAAGTTTTGCTGGTGTCCAGAGTGTGGCAAATTGCTAGCGCAATGCTTATCTCACTCAGTTGTAGGGTCCGCCCACATATTATTCACCCCTACAATGCCAAGCATGTTGCAGTACACAGACACAGACACAGACTCTAGCTCACACAACACCCAATAGACTAGAACACACAAACACACGAACACCGAAACACGCACAATATGCCACAGACA